CCATTGTTTTATCAGGGAGAGGAATTTGAGCAACCAGTGCTCACCCCAAACACGTTACTTAGAGGAAGGCCAAACTCCATCTTAGAGGAGGATCTTGAGAAGATTGGAGAGGAAGAAGTAACCAGACGAATGAGGTTTCTGCAGAAAAGCAAAGAGCATCTTCGAAAGAGATTCGTGAAGGAGTATGTGCACGCCCTTTAAGAAAGACAGCAGCCGCCCACCGGTAACATCGCCGAAATCCCGAACACAGGAGCGCTTGTGTTGCTTAAAGATAAAACCAAGAATAGAGCACTGTGGAAGCTTGCACGAGTGGTAGGAAAGGTCACGGGCAAAGATGGAACAGTCCGAGGATTGAATCTTTAACAAGGGAATGGTTACATCGTAGAGCGCCCCTTGCAATTCGTATGTAAACTTGAAATTGGGGGAGAGGATCGTGACTGCCAGCTAAATCTAGAAGCAGAAGTGTTCAAACCAAGATTGAGACCAAGTAGAAGATCCAAGGAGATCGCAAACGAGAGAATCAAGGACATTGTTTCACAAGAAGTTTAAGAACATTTAAGCTGATTAACACTTAAATCGGGGGGAGGGTGTCGTGACTGGTTTTTTTTGGGGGAGTTGCGTAACTTTTGTCATTGACAACCTCGTTTTGAAATTATGTGAGCCTCGGTTCAAATTACCTACCTCGTGGAAAATACACATCGGTGACGTTTTGAGAGAGGAGATATTTTGAGTTGTATACAACATTTTGTGAATATTAAACCTTTAATTCGAGAAACTAAAGTGAGTTATTTGGTGTCTCTGGAAAACGGAATTTTGGTTCCCACAGAGCTGTGATCGTGCAATTAAACGGGGTTCTGGCAATTTGACCTCACAAGCGCGTTGGTAAGCACATGGTTAGCGTAAATAATTGTTGTTTACAGTTTCGTATTTAAGAGCAGTTTTTGAGAGTCTGTTTCTGTAACCTTCCTGGTGTTTTCTGTTAAATTCATTGAGGTTCAGTCTCGGAATTTCATAAGCGATTATGAATGATAGATTCGTATCGGCACTATAATTTCGGGAAATTTTGTCAAGACATTAACAGTTTACAATTCGCGAATTATTTCTGTAACTTGCTTGGATATTCTCTCTTGAAATAATTGAGTCACACCCTCGGAATTTCATTAGCAATTAAGAACGACAAATCCGTATATATAACACAAGTGAAGAACATTTTAAACTTTCATACGATTGTAGGAAACTATACTTAATTAACTCTGAAACAAAGTAGCTCTGAAACACTGCTCCGTCTGGCCGAACTAGTACTCACACTCAATTGTTTTTCATTCGGTGGTAACTACTACAAACAAACTAATGGCGTGGCCATGGGTACTAAAATGGGACCCAGCTACGCCAATCTTTTTTGTAGGTTTTATCGAACACCAATTTTTTAGCCAATACCACGGCCCAAAACCTCAACTCTACGGCCGCTACATTGACGATTGCATCGGCGCTACCTCCTCTACCAAGGAGGAGCTCACTCAATTTATAACCGCCGTCAATTCCTTTCATCCGGCTCTTAAATATACCTGGCAAATTTCCGACACTTCTTTGGCTTTTCTAGACATCAAAATTTCAATTGAAGGCAACGGCTTATGTACTAGTGTTTACTACAAACCTACAGATTCACATAGTTACTTGTTGTATTCATCCTCACATCCATCACACGTCAAGAACTCCATACCTTTTTCACAGTTTCTCAGACTTCGTCGTTTATGTAGTGACGACTCTGATTTTTCCGAAAAATCAGAGGCAATGTGCCAGTTTTTCGATAAACGCGGCTATCCTGTTTCTGTCGTTCAAGCGGGCTACCACCGTGCCCAACTAATCGATCGACAGGCAGCACTACAAACGGCCGAGAAGGAGAACACTGACCGCATTCCATTTACTCTTACATTTCACCCTCACAACCACGCAGTTAAATCTATCATTCTTAAAAAAAAGAAATGACAAGGACGCATCCAAACCAGTCGCTAGACACTTTAATCTTCCTTATCATTCTAAACAGCATATGGCAGTTTGCGGCCTTTCCTTACATCTAGGCAGTTCGGAAAGCCGTAAAACACTAGAACAAAAATTTATATTCCAAATCGGCACCCTTAATCCCCACGGAATCAACGAGCGCTTTTCATTCAACTAATTTATTCCTGTTTTCTCGTCACCACATTCCCACAAATGGCGTAGTTCCACTTCCTACATATAAATCCACACACAACCCACAATTCCTCTAATCGCTCTGACGAAGGGCTAACGCTCGAAACGTCAACTTTTTTACCCTTTACGGTGGCTAATTTACGTTTTCAACCCAGTTGTTAACACTAAATTACCTGCTATACTCTCCCACCGACGCAGCACCACAGTTTCTTTAGAAACTTACCCCTTTATACTTAATTAACTCTCGATAAATTGACCTGACATAACTCGCTGATTATTTTTTAATTTTGTAGCCCCAAAAGCCCGGCTTCTGACTCTGGAGGTCCTGAACATGATATATTTGATACACAAGGCACCCTTCAAGTAGGAAGGTTAGAATAAAATTGCTTTTATGACCATATATTGCACTTGGTTTACATATGTTGATAATTACTTAAAAAATACCTATTATAGCTGTATTCAGAAGCATAGACATGTAGGCAATATGCTTCTGCTTTATTTTATTGTAAGGGGTTTCTTTTTATGTAACATGTATCCATCATTTAATTTCCTCCTTAACCTGCCTGCAAATAATTGAATTTTATGTTATAATTCAAGATAAAGCAGAAGTCTTGCAGAGTTCTCATTCCAGATTGAATTCAGGTGAGAACATCAGTAAACAAGTTAAAATCATATGCTTCTCCTGAATCTTTAATTTTATTGCCCTGGTTTTTTTACAAACCCTATTTTATACCTCTGTTTGACAGCTAATGTTAAAAACCTCAGTGAGTAGATATGCTATATTTTAGTAGTTTTTTAAATTCCATCTTTATGTTTTTGGCATTTACCATTTTAAAATTCATAAATGGCATTCCTTTTTCATCCTTGTAAAGAGATATTGCACATTTCTTTAACTAAAATATGAATTATGAAGTCAACTTAATTTCAATGAGTTTGAAACTTCATTCTACATAAGAACACTTTACTGGAGTATAATGTTATATTTATTTGCTGTCTTTCTGTTACACATGATTACCATATGTGTCTTAACCCTTTAACTCCCAAGATTTCACGAGTAATCCTCCTTACTGTCTGTCATACAATTTATGTGATGTTAGTTTTGAGAATTTGGAATTGGATCAACCAATAATCCCCTAATTGATATTTGTCTTAATTCGTGTTACTTGTCTGCTTTATATCATACTAATAGTGTAAGGAGAAATTCTGTCTCCCAAGATCTCATTAGTAATTCTCCTTACCATCTCCCATACAGTTCTTGTGATGTTAGTTTGGAGGATTTAGTATTGGATTATCTCATAATCCCCTAACTGATATTTTTCTTTATTCTCATAACTTATCTGATTGAAATTGTATTGATATTGTAAGGAGAAATTCTTTCTTGGTCACTCATGGGAGTTAAAGGGTTAAAATGGGGGATTTCATCATATTGTAATGATTAAAATATTCTTATGCTTTGAAATGTAACAAAAAAATGTGATGAGAATCTGATGATATGAAACACTTGTAATGGAAAAACCTGTTGCTGGTAGCTTATGTCTTTAATGCTTAAATTTTCATCAGAAATGCTTTTCTTTGAAAGTGGGGATACAGAAGTTTTTAAAGCTGGTAGAAGTATAAGCTGTTTGCAAGTAATAAAAGGCAAATTGACAATCATACCTTAAAGCTTGACATGCTTCACTCATACATGTCAATTGTGTGTACCTACCATTGTAGAGGTGTCTTTAAAAAGGCCTTTTTTTTACACAAGGCAACCTCCAGGGTGGAAGAGTAGAAGACCATAGGATTATGTTTACTTGGTATTTGTACTTAATGCAATCATATATTCAAGCAGTACTCTACAGTACATATATATATCTGATTACATGATGTCTTTAACCCTTTACACCCCAATATCAGTATGCATATTCTCCATACTGTTCTCTATATATTTCCTTATGTGCTGGCAAGGAGAATTTGTTTAACAATCAAGAGGTTCTTCAATTGATTATCATTTCCTTTATTCTCGTGACCTTAATGTGTGACTCAGGGCTGATATTGAAAGGAGAAATTAGATGCGAGTCACTCTCAGGGATTAAAGTGTTATTAGCTGTACACATTTTCATGTATATGTGCCTCGCATTTGTTGGCAACAATAGCTAAGATTGTTAGGAAAGCAAACAAACAAGTGAACAGAAGACAGTGAAATGAGGGAAACTGTAAACTTTACCATGTAATAGTAAAAAACATCACAGAATACCTAAGAGGAGAAACTTGAATTGTGCTAGCTAATTTCCTCTATTGCCATTCATGTTTTTGATCAAATAAAATTTAACCCTTTAACTACCAGTTCAAATTTGTAATTATCCTTACTGTCAACTACACAATTCTTATAATGTTAGTTCTAAGAATTTAGTATTGAATCAACTAATTATTCCCAAGTTTATAATTTTCTTTAATGATCGGCCCGATCTAACTTAGTCGATAACCATTTTGTCACATGAACGCCGCCGTTTCTCTTTATCCACCTTGTTTCTTGAAAATATGTTACAATTAAATCTCCTTTTGAGGCCGATGGTGCTGACAAGGCCAGAGAAGAAGCCTTGTTTCATCGCATGGCGCGGCGAGAAGAGAAAAGAAAGGAAGAAGGAGAAACAGCGGCGGTCATCAGATAAAATGCTAATTGCTGAGTAAGTAATGTATTCGTCTGACGAGGCGTGTGCGGAGAAACAGCTCGTGTCCAGGCCATTACGAGCGCCCAAGAAGATGCACGTGAGAAAGAAAAAGAAAAGAACAAAGATAATAGTACCATGGACTACAGAATGAAACGATCGTGAACGCCCTTTTATTCAGTCACACGAAATTAAGCTACAGAAAATAGATTTCGAAAATTTTAATAACAAAACAAAAAGTGAAAACCAGCAAAATGATTAAAAAGTAATAATGTTAGCCAGCAGTGCTAAACGTGCACGGGAGATTCCGCTGCTCTGAAAACTGAGTGCATCTAGAACTTTAGGTGACCACGCCAACTAAGTATCAAATAAGTTTAAACGAGCAATAAGCGAAATGAAAAGTTGACTTGTAAAGCCTTCCACGGCTTACTTCAGCAGTGCTAGGCCCAGGACAGAGGAAACGGTCAACAGGATGATGTTGGCAGTGAAATATGAGCTTGTATTACATCCGTCCTCAGAACAGCAGCTAACCTCGCATTGGTAGTCCGGAATATCTTTCGATTGTTGATCACAAATGGACTTTCGGGTGTTACAAGACGATTGGTCACCACATCCAATATCAAGCATGGCATCGTAGTGTTTCCTTTTAGACCAACTTCTGTAGCATCTATCGCTGTCGACACACGTGTATAAAAAGTTGGCTTCGTTTTCGTCCATCTTGCTCTTCTTACAGTCTTCTTCAGTATACGTGCAGGAATAACATTTTAAAGCAAAAGCTGACGAAATAAAAAAAAAAGAAAATGATAAAAAAATTTGTACAGATAGCACGCTACTTAAATTGTTCTCTCTGAGATTTAAAGACCCACTACAAATGCGCTATTCACTCTTTTATAGCAAGCGGAAAGTAGCAAGCGTTCCATGGGTGTCCACTTTTATAGATTCCACTGTTTGTGTCTACTCTTTGATGCAGCTCTCATAAAATTTTTTGACATTTATTTTGCGCTTGAGATTGCGACGTCAAAGCAAAATGTCCATTGAAGTGAATTGAATGAATTTAAACCCTGGGAGGTGGGTGGGGGAGGAATTCAATTATTTTAATCAATTAGTTGAAAAATATAATTTTAGAGTTTCAAAATAAAAAATGATGAATAAATCGGTGCTCGTATCCAGCGTTACGGATGCTCCCTTTGGTAAGCCGACAACTTGAGACATAGATATATCAATCCAACGACCCCGTGTATCTTCAAAATTAACAATTCTAGAACGGTTTGTAACATTTTTACTTGTTAGCTTCAAATTTAAAGTAATTGCCGACGCCTTGCGGCTGTCTTTGAAAAAACCTAATAAAAGCCTGTTTCTGGAATAATTAATTCACTTCCATTTTTTAAAACCGAAATGTGACACATCCGACGTTACTGTACTTTTTGCATGAGATAAGTCTCTTTAAGTGTAACGGTTTTTCCGTTATTATGCTCAAAATTGTTACTATAATAGTATTTGTTATAGTAGAGTTAGAGTTAGCCGACAACTTGAGACATAGATATATCAATCCAACGACCCCGTGTATCTTCAAAATTAACAATTCTAGAACGGTTTGTAACATTTTTACTTGTTAGCTTCAAATTTAAAGTAATTGCCGACGCCTTGCGGCTGTCTTTGAAAAAACCTAATAAAAGCCTGTTTCTGGAATAATTAATTCACTTCCATTTTTTAAAACCGAAATGTGACACATCCGACGTTACTGTACTTTTTGCATGAGATAAGTCTCTTTAAGTGTAACGGTTTTTCCGTTATTATGCTCAAAATTGTTACTATAATAGTATTTGTTATAGTAGAGTTAGAGTTAGCCGACAACTTGAGACATAGATATATCAATCCAACGACCCCGTGTATCTTCAAAATTAACAATTCTAGAACGGTTTGTAACATTTTTACTTGTTAGCTTCAAATTTAAAGTAATTGCCGACGCCTTGCGGCTGTCTTTGAAAAAACCTAATAAAAGCCTGTTTCTGGAATAATTAATTCACTTCCATTTTTTAAAACCGAAATGTGACACATCCGACGTTACTGTACTTTTTGCATGAGATAAGTCTCTTTAAGTGTAACGGTTTTTCCGTTATTATGCTCAAAATTGTTACTATAATAGTATTTGTTACGATTTATAGTAGAGTTATTTAATCTATTTATATCGGTGTCCTGAATCTTTTTAGACACAGGATTTTGATTGTTGACAGGATTATGGTATTTATGAACATGAATTATACTTATACTGTGATCACTAAACGTATTAGTCGATGGTCTTGAAACTGTCTCCATACTACCGGTAGTTAAGAATTTGTTCATGTTTGCCCTGCGTATATCGAGTTATGGATGCACGAGGGAAGTTTGGAGAGCACGAAAAATGCGTAAGAGTAGCTCGAGGCGCAGCCGAGGGCAACTCTAGCTTTTTGAGTGCTCTCCAAACTTCCGAAGTGCATCCATAACTCGATATACGCACAGCTAAAAGCATAAGCAAATTCTTTCAGAGCGACAACAAGGATCGCACCGGATAGAATGCAAAATTCTCACAACGCACCAAAAAAAAGGAAACAAACGTCCCTATTGGCTGGTCAAAAACACGCCACATTTGAGACTTTGGTTTGAGCGAGAACATCTGATCCAGTTAACCGATAACTGTGAATGGAAAGCTCAAAATTTACGGGGAAAAGGGAGAAAATCAAAGCCAAATGAACTCGTGTCACTAAAAATTGTTTTAAAAGTCAAAGACCCGAAGTTAGCAAGGGATTTGATTGTTCAAAATAATGTTTACGCTTCTGTGCAGACAGACTGCGGAGAACTTGCAAAAATATTCTCACTTCATCTTGTTTACGCATGGCTCAGTAGGACTTATGTAGGGCAAGCACGCGCGCTATGTTATAAAAGATATTTGGACTGTTGAAATCCCAATTGATGAAGGAAAATACAGTTCAAAAACGACAGTATATTCACAAGTTGTAAAAAGATACATATTCAGACCTACACGACTGCTAGAAAACTACACATTCAATGCGCCACCAGCTAATTTGCATACAATTTTGCATAAAATAATTTCGCATAAAATTTTCTTTAGTGTCCTAAAGAAGATCAAGTTAAGCGGTAATCCAAACCACATTCATACATCCCCAAAATTTCAAAGAACAAACAGAAAAGAGCGGTAGGACTGAGTTATGATTCTGAACAAATCAAGTCGAGCCTAAATCAGAGTCCATCCATATCACAGAAATCATTTGGAAACAATGAAAGCTAACTGAGACCTGAATGATTTTCAACGCAGATTTCTTCTCCTGGTTCAACTTAAGATTATACATTTTCATACCAAAACATAAACAAAAGCTGTTACATGCATTTTCAAGGATACTGTACGGTTGACGGGAAGAAAGGCTGTCATGCTGGCGGCCGAAGCCAACGAAAATACTTGACGGTTATTTTGCGGCAGTTTAATCTGTTTCAGTGTCGCATCATTCAGCGATGCTTTTAATAAGACACAACATTTCCTGTGCGATAAAACTACCTTTCAAATTCCAAAGTTGTACAGTACTCACCATGTGCAGCCATCAGAACGACAACGGTCAGAGTGAACAGCAAACGATTCATTTTTGAGGCTCCTATTTGCGTCGAAGTTGAACTCCTCGTGCTACACCGAACATGTACAGCCACGCCAAATTTATGCATAGTATGGTCACTACGGGTGTATAAATGGTAACAGACAAACATAAATGGTCGGGGGGGGGGAGGGGGGTATATACCACCCCTGTGTTCCTACCTACGTCCCTGAATAGGAGCACTAAACGATATACACCTGTTTATCTTGGTCAGATGTGGAATGATGAGTGCTCATCTTCAAAAACTGAAGGTGTTCCACAGAAGTAATCCACAAACTGTACGCATGGTTGTACTTCATGGACTCCCGGTTCACGTCTAAATTTGTTATCCTTAACAACATGCTAGCGAGTCATTAGCAGGTCTTTTGCCATAACACCCACAGGCAGCCTAAGCTGTAGCTGTGTCATGATTATTTTGCGAAATAACAGTCATGGCGAAATTGTAAGAAAAGCCCTTCCTATGTATGTAGTAAATTGATCGGACAACTGGAAGCGTTGACAGGTGTCAAATATTCGCCCCGATGGTATAATATTCTCGAAAGAAACAGGAGACACACATTGGACCACTAACTGTTTGCGTCAGTTGTTTTCCCATTGGTTTTATTTTATTGAGATTGGAAAAAAGATACGTGCGTGTGGGCACGATTTTTAACAGGAGACACACATTGGTCATGCATGCGTATGATAATTGGAAGAATCCGATGAAAGATGTCACTGATTTGATCGGACAACTGGAAGCGCTGACAGTGGTCAAATATTCGCTTCGATGGTATGATATTGTGGAAAGAAACAGGAGACACACATTGGACAAAAAAGAAACCAATAGAAAAACAGCGAAGGATTGAATATAAGAGCGACAACATTGTAGTGCGGCATTCATTTTTCGAAAACAAGATGTGTGATGTGAGAGACAATCCTCGTTGGGCTTTGAGTCATGTAGATGATATGTTGGATATCTTGGAGAATCATGCAGACGAGTGTGACATGAAAAGAATCTTGAGAGGATATGAATATTATCTCTTACCTGCAGATAATGAAGGTCCGGTGTTTATGGAAAAAAGGAGTCGTGTAATTGAGGCCTTTGCAGACTTTGTCACGTTGTTTAAAGAAAGAGAAAAGAACCGAGAGTATTCAGACAATGATTGACAATGCCATTTATGTAGAGTGGATTTGATGTAATGTAAAGACATTGAAAAATTCAAAGCTATGATTGAAGAGTTAAAATTACGCGAGAGACATCGTGAACTTGTATTTTATGCGGCTTTACATCATATTTACGAACCGACAGGGATGAGACATGGATGGGTCTATTGCGCATCATGGAATGAAGAAATCGCAGCTGGGTTAGATTCTGCATACCATGACAAAGAATATTAAGACACATTTGTTTTCTTTTTATTATACTTTGTAGATATACATCAAATTAAAAAAAAGTTATATGGGTAACGAATAGAAATGAATGATGGAATTGTGTACATGTCTATTATTAAATGTAGTTAACCAATCTGCATTTTCAATCACGGGTGGATTTTCATAATTAGTAAAGCCATATTGAACTATTGAAAGATTGAGCATATACGCATTGACAAAAGTGAAAAAGTTGACGTTCGTAAACAGTAATAACAATTCTTCATGCTCACTCATTAAAAACGCATGCAACGCATTAAAGAATTGACGAAAATCTTCCACGGGAAAATCAGTCTGAAAAAATCAAAAAGTGAAGATGGTTACTGTATCACCAACACTTAATGAATTAAGAAGTTGGCTAACCAATAATACTCTGAGCGTCTTCCCACTTCATCATCAAAAAAAAACGAAACCATGTATACAAATCATACACACGAAGTACATTTCTTAAAAAATCGATATTTTCAAATTGAAAAGATAGATTGAATCCTTCTGTTCTTAATTCAGTTACAATCAAACAGAATAATGCGTAAAGATCTTCAATTTCTTCAGGGTGGTATAGGTGGTTTACATTCATCTAAAAAAGTCAAAAAGTACAAATGGTTACCATATTATTTACATGTAAAATGAATTCTAACGTCGTGTTATATCCTAAAGATAATCTTACGTCATCGTGAAAAAAGCAGTGAAACAATTCGTTTAAAGCATAAACACGATTCACTTTGATATAAAACTCTACGTTATTAAATTGAAAAGCTAGATTCATGCCTCTCCTTCTTATTTTCAATAAAATACAAAATAATAATTCGTGAATAGCATGACGTTCTCTAGTACTGATCTAAAAGAAGAAATGATTTAATTTAATGAAGATAATATCTATCGAGTGCAAATAATCGTACTCCCATAAAAAAGTTTACATGAGAATAACATCGCATTCCTCGATGATATTGTGAATACAATCCAAGAAACTCATTAATGCAAGGTGATACTAGATGATCAAAAACAAAATCATAAAAGGCGGTTTCAGGATTTGTACCACAGGTTTCTGAAAATTGTTGTTGAAACTCATCACAAAGTTTGACATGTACTAATAAAAAAAAAAATTTGATGTAAGTATAACTTTATAGCGTAGATGTAACTTTGAATGGTATTCTTGACAAATCGATGATTCAGTGCATAAGAACACATCCAGTTTACAGCTCGTAAATCATATTCAGGCGTGTAAGATCTGATCTGATAAAATAATATGAAAATAAAGTTGCACTGATCACAGAGACGAGTACAGGTAGAGCGTGCTAGCAAAAGATTCGTGCCTCGTTTGGTGTTCCCGTCCTCATGGGTGATCAGACGACAGACCTGTTGCGACAGAATTATTATCACCCTGTCTTAGAAGGAAGTTATTACTACGAACCCAAAAAGATCCAATGAATTCCTCTGCGAAACAATTACATTGACGAAATCGAAACATAGATGAGTGAATCGGAAAACAACAATCTGGCTCAGTTTATCGACGGCGCCTCCATTCTCACATTACATTTTAGACGTGTCCGTTAAAAAAAGTCTATAAAGACGACAAAAAATGTCCCGACGTGTATAATTACTCTCATCTCAACCGCCTCCAACGGTACCAAATTTGACGCGGGGGCACCTACGCCGGGAACGCAAGCAACCCAACCAGCCTTTGACAATATTATACGCGACGTGACAGCTCAAGCGCAAAACTATCCTGAATTACAAGAAGCGGCACGTATGAACGCCTTATTGGACGAGAACGATCCAGCTGTGTTTAATGAACCTTCGCGTTAAAGAAAAAGCCACAGTTCATCGCGTCCTGCCTCCGGAGCCGCCGCCAAGAAGAATCCCAAGAGCCAGAAGAAGACGGCGAAGCCATCTCCCAAGACAAAGTCTACCACGACTTGGGATCCTAAAAATTTTGTCAAAAAGAAACAACAAGGACCACAAGGACTTTGTCTTCGAAAGAATACGACGGTGATTTCTTTATTGAAACATATACCGGCTTTGAAACAACCACTTTACAAGATTGTCACTCCTAAGAAGTAAATGCCCGAATCCATCTATCCTTACGATTTTACCTGTACTTGTCATCAATGTAAATCATGTCAAAGACGTCAAGAGGTCACCTCAGAAGTCCGATGGAGGGTACGAGTGATGCATCTCAGAAAAGACTATCTTCCTCGACAGATAGATCACATCATTCAGAGACTTCAAGAGTGAGATCAAGCAATTATTGATCGAAGCTAATAAATCGGTAGAGTTATGGAAAGAAAGATGTCGTACTCTAGAATGGAACCGTGATGTTTGGTGTAAAAGGGTGAGGGAACTTGAAAAGAAATTCTATTGTACATCTTGTGTCAATCAATATCAAACAGTGAAAACCTTAAACAATGAATCGTGTTTATGCTTTAAACGAATTGTTTCACTGCTTTTTTCATGATGACGTAAGGTTATCTTTAGCACACTCGTCTGCATGATTCTCCAAGATATCCAACATATCATCTACATGACTCAAAGCCCAACGAGGATTGTCTCTCACATCACACATCTTGTTTTCGAAAAATGAATGCCGCACTACAATGTTGTCGCTCTTATATTCAATCCTTCTCTGTTTTTCCATTGGTTTCTTTTTAGTCCAATGTGTGTCTCCTGTAATCGGATTCTTCCAATTATCATACGCATGCATGACCTCTTCAAAATCGTGCCCACACGCATGTATCTTTTTTCCAATCTCAATAAAATAAAATCAATGGGTAAACAAATAACTGACGCATGCCTTTACATGTAAACAGTTAGTGGTCCAATGTGTGTCTCCTGTTTCTTTCGAGAATATTATACCATCGAGGCGAATATTTGACACCTGTCAACGCTTCCAGTTGTCCGATCAAATCAGTGACATCTCTCATCGGATTCTTCCAATTGTCATACGCATGCATGACTTCTTCAAAATCGTGCCCATACGCTCGGATCTTTTTTCCTATCTTAATAAAGTGAAACACGTGTGTAAACAGATACAGCGGCATGTTTACATTTTGGACACGACATCATTGACAAGACAGATTCAGTGGTGTCACAACAGTGACTGCACTGAAATTTCTAGGAAGAACCCATTAAAAATTTTGAGTCATGGTTAGGCACTTCAGACGTATAACGTGGTTTCCCGTTTTTTCTTCTTGTTTGACATTTTTGCGTGAAATCCAAAAATTTCATAGAGCCTCACTTTCAACCGACTAGTCAGTTCCCGCCTAAAAATACTTACCACATGCACACAGGACTTTTTTTTTCTTCATGTGTGACTGTTATTTGCGTGACATACCCAAAAAATATCTTACAGCCCCACTTTCATGGCAGTTCCCGCCAAAAAAAAACTTCCATTCGCACAAAGGACCTTTCTTTTCTTCACGTGTGACTATTGTTTGTGTGACATACCCAAAAAATATTTTACAGCCTCGCTTTCATGCCGGTCCCACATACCCCCTTTACTACTGCCACTAGAACAACTCACTAGCATCGAGGATCGAAACGTGTCAATCACGGCTGTAGAAAAACTAACCAATCACAGCGGAGCATCCAGCTTTTTAAGAAGACCCGAAACCAGTAGACCTAACCTTATAGCCTGAAAAGACTAGCAGCATACAGTCGAAACGTCGCGGTTCACATCATAAGTAACACATCGTGAGACAAACGATAATATTTCATTATGATTCAAGTGAGTTGCTTTGCATGCAAACGGTTCAGCCGATAGATTTCAGACGCGCACGGAAGGAGAAGTTTTCCACTTGTTGGGATTTCGCGTTTGAGATAATGAACGAGCCCTTGTATTTTTCAGTTAGCTCTGAATCTGTAAGTAATCCTAACTGTCGCACTTGTTTGCCATATGCATGTGTGGGAAATTTTCCTATTTCTTTGGTGTCCTTAGCAATGTTATCAGAAATTTACCACGGGTTAGGAAAAGTATCAGTAAATAACCGACTTAATTTTGCAACTTTATTTATTATAACTATCTCTCTCCGCCCTGCTCAAAACACTGTGACACAGCCATGTTGAAAAAGAGTCTCACCCGCGAGAGGCTGACGTAGAGTATTCACCGGGCTCCTCGCGTTCGGCCCACCTTGAAAAATAGAAATTGTTTTCAGTCAAGTCTTTGGATTGCTTCTTATGGTTACAATGATTACAGTCATCATCACCATCAACTTTGATTTCGAAGTGAAATTTTGAAATACGGTGTCTCAAATCTTCCGATGGCGGAGAAACGTGCGTTTGAGCGCAATGACGGCCCTATTAGTTGATTCGTCATTTTTTTCATTAAAATCTGGATTGGAGATATTTACGACATATGTTTGTTAATATTTGTGTTTCTTATTTTGGAAGATCTATGGACGTAAGGAAATATGTAGGACGTATATCTATGCACAGTAGTACCACTTGCCGATAAATGTTTTTTTCAAAATAAGATCATTAAAATCTGGAATTGAGAAACAAGGATAATTTAGCGATGCCGATAAAGCATAGCCTCGTGGAGGTTTTGCTACTGCGTGCACTTGCTTGATTTAGCTGATGCGGACGATATACCCACGACTGAGACTGAAAAAATAGGCCTTATGTAGGAAATCTCTTAGCCTAACGTTGGTTATCGTTTTGCATTTTTCTGAACAGCCTCATTAGCGAAATACGAGTTAATCCCAGCTATTGTTTTTACTAGTTTCAAAAGAGCACATCATTTTCGCCCCAAGGGGTGAATAAGGTTCATTAGCGAAAAATAGCCAACCAACTAGATTCATTTTTTGAAATCACCAAGTACCAATTATCATATAGAGATATGCAGTTAGCGATTGGGTGGGAGGGCCAGACAGGGGAATGTTAATCTTGAGGTCATAAAAAAAGGGCAGAGCGTACGTAGGTCTATACATTATGACCGAGAACCAATTACTTTCCTGATCGGCCCGATCTAACTTAGTTGATAACCATTTTGTCATATGAACGCCGCAGTTGCTATTTGTCAAATTTGTTTCTTGAAAAAATATGTTATCATTAAATCTCAGATTGAGGCCGATGGTCCAGAGAGGGCCTGAGAAGAAGTCTTGTTTCATTGCACGGCGCGGCGAGAAGGGAAAAGAAAGGAAGAAGGAGAAACAGCGGCGGTCATCAGATAAAATGCTAATTGCTGAGTAAGTAATGTATTCGTCTGACGAGGCGTGTGTGGACAAACAGCTCGTGTCCAGGCCATTACGAGCGCCCTAGAAGATGCACGTGAGAAAGAAATAAAAAAAACAATGATAATAGTACCATGGGCTTCAGAATGAAAAGATCGTGAACGCCCTTTTATTCAGTCACACAAAATTAGGCCACAGAAAATAGATTACGAAAATATTAATGGAAAAACAAAAAATGAAAACCAGCAAAACGATTTAAAAGTAGTAACAATTGCTAGCAGTGCTAAACGCGCACGGGAGATTCCGCCGCTCCAACTGTTCTGAAAACTAAGTGCATCTAAAACTTTGGGTATGAAAGTATGAAATAAGTTTAAACAAGCAATAAGCGAAATGAAAAGTAGACTTGTAAAGCCTTCCACGGCTTACTTCTGCAGTGCTAGACCCAGGACAGAGGAAACAGCCAACAGGATGATGTTGGCAGTGAAATATGAGCTTGCGTTACATCCGTCCTCAGAACAGCAGCTAACCTCGCATTGGTAGTCCGGAATATCTTTCGATTGTTGATCACAAATGGACTTTCGGGTGTTACAAGACGATTGGGTACCACATCCAATATTAAGCATGGCATCGTAGTGTTTCTTTTTAGACCAACTTCTGTAGCATCTATCGCCGTCGACACACGTGTATAAAAAGTTGGCTTCGTTTTCATCCATCTTGCTCTTCTTACAGTCGTCTTCAGTATACGTGCAGAAATAACATTTTAAAGCAAAAGCTGACGAAATAAAAAAAAGGAAAATGATAAAAAAATTTGTACAGATAGCACGCTACTTACATTGTTCTCTCTGAGATTTAAAGACTCACTACAAACGTGCTATTCACTCTTTTATAGCAAGCGGAAAGTAGCGAGCGTTCCATGGGTGTCCACTTTTATAGATTCCACTGTTTGTGTCTACTCTTTGATGCAGCTCTCATAAAATTTTTGAACATTTATTTTGCGCTTGAGAATGCGACGTCAAAGCAAAATGTCCATTGAAGAGAATTGAATGAATGTAAACCCTGGGAGGTGGGTGGGGGAGGAATTCAATTATTTTAATCAATCAGTTGAAAATTATAACTTTATAGTTTCATAATCAAAAATGATGGATAAATTTCCACGTCTTGCAAACAGGTACTCAAGTCTAGTGTTCTGGATGCTTCCTTTGGTAAGCCGACAACTTGAGACATAGATATATCACTCCAACGACCCCGTGTATCTTCAAAATTGACAATTCTAGAACGGTTTGCAATATTTTTATTTGTTAGCTTCAAATTTAAAGTAATTTCAGACGCCTTGGGCTGTCTTTGAAAAGAATCTGATAAAAACTTGTTTCTGGAATAATCAATTCACCTCCACTTTTAAAACCGAAATGTGACGCAGCCGACGTTATTGTACTGTTTGCATGAGATAAGTTTAACGGTTTTTTCGTTAATTATTGTGCTCCAAATTGTTACCATAATAGTATTTAGAGAAAACTTACCATCTCTCTTATTTCTATCTATAATAGTATTTGCTACGAATTATAATATAGTTATTTAATATATTTATATTGGCGTAATGTATATTTTTAGACACAGGATTTTAGATGTTGACGGGATTATTGTCAGTTTAGGAAGATGAATTATACTTAGGCTGTGATCACTAAACCTATTAGTTGATGGTCTTGAAACTGTCTCCATACTACTTGTAGTAGATATTTGGACTGTTGAAATGTCAATTGAAGAAGGAACATACAGTTCAAATAGACAATATACTTACTAGTTGCAAGAGGGTACATATTCAGACCTACACGACTGCTATAAAACTGCACATTCAATGCGCCACCAGCAAATTTGCATACAATTTTGCATAAAATAATTTTGTATAAAAATTTTCTATAGTGTATTAAAGAAGATCAAGTTAAGCGGTAATCCAAACCACGTTCATATATCCCCAATATTTCAAAGAACAAACAGAAAGAGCGGTTAGCAAGGGTTTTGATTGTTCAAAATAATGTTTACGCTTCTGTGCACGGTGCAATTGGAGAAGACAGACTGCGGAGAACTTGAAAAAATATTCTTATTTCATCTTGTTTACGCATGGCTCAGTAGGACTTCTATAGGGCAAGCACGCACGCTATGTTATAAAAGATATTTGGACTATTGAAATCTCAATTGATGAAGGAAAATTCAGTTAAAAAACGACAGTATATTCACAAGTTGCAAAAAGACATATTCAGACCTACACGACTGCTATAAAACTGCACATTCAATGCGCCACCAGCTAATTTGCATACAATTTGCATAAAATAATTTTGCATAAAATTTTCTTTAGTGTCCTAAAGAAGATCAAGTTAAGCGGTAATCCAAACCACATTCATACATCCCCAAAATTTCAAAAAACAAACAGAAAAGAGTGGTAGGACTGAGTTATGATTCTGAACAAATCAAGTCGAGCCTAAATCAGAGTCCATCCATAGCACAGAAATCATTTGGAAACAATCAAAACTAACTGAGACCTGAATGATTTTCAACGCGGATTTCTTCTCCTAGTTCAACTTAAGATTATATATTTTCATACTAAAACATAAACGAAAGCTGTTACATGCATTTTCAAGGATTACTGTACGGTTGACGGGAAGAAAGCCTGTCATGCTGGCGGCCGAAGCCAACGAAAATACTTGACGGTTAGTTGGCGGCCGTTTAATATGTTTCAATGTCGCATCATTCAGCGATGCTTTTAATAAGACACAACTTTTCCTGTGCGATAAATCTACCTTTCAATTTCCAAAGTTAAACAGTACTTACCATGTGCAGTCATCAGAACGACAACGGCCAGAGTGAACAGCAAACGATTCATTTTTGAGGCTCCTATTTGCGTCGAAGTTGAACTCTTCGTGCTTCACCGAACATGTACAGCCACGCCAAATTTATGCATAGTTAAAAGCTAATACACAAATAAAAATGGTCGGGGGGGGGGGCATATACCACCCCTATGTTCCTAGTCCACCAATCATTTAAGCTCCAGCTGTGAGATGATCATTTTGCGAAATAACAGTCATGGCAAAATTACAAGGAAAGCCCTTCCTATGTATGTAGTAAACCTAAAAATGAATAATTTGCCAAAATAGGTTCTTTTCAAATAAGTAAGCGGTATAATAGCAAGCGATGCACTGTGGAAGTAAGGTTAGGTATTTTTATAGAGAATTTGACTGTATTTTTATTCCTAAGAGCAGTCGTAAATATTTCCATACAAACTTTTATAATTTCGCCATGACTGTTTTTTCGCAAGATGATCATCTCACAGTTGGAGCTTGGGCCCGCTGTTAATAACACCCCGTATTTGAATTCAACCGAGCTTACCAATCTCTGCCATAAACATTTCCCGTTCATATGATAGCTAAAAAGAAATTATACGGAGGCAAGCGTATAATTTTGATGTTCAAGCATCAAGAAGGTAAAACTCATATCTTTTCGCCAACGTGTAACATCCTATATAATAACACAAGGTGGCACAATGCTCTACTGTCTTAGCTTGTATGCACAACTCACAATAAGTTACATGTTATGTACTTATTGACTGAGTGGGAAAGCCGGACAGGATAATGTTTGGCTTGAGGTCATGACGTACGCGTTTGAGAAAATGACCAAGCCCTTGTATTTCTCAGTTAGCTCTGTGTCTGCAAGTAATCATAACTGTCGCACTTGTTTACCATGTGCGTGTGTGAGTAATTTCGTATTTCTTCAGTGACCTTAGCAATGTTATCAGAAATTTACCGCGGGTAAGTACAAGTATCTTGGCAGCAATGAATCTCTTGGTATGAAAAACTCTTTGAGTAAATAACCGACTTCATCATTTTATTACAAATATCTCTCTCCGCCCTGCTGCAAGCACTGTGACACCGCCACGCTTAAAAGGAAAAAATGAAGATGGGTTATCATTATTCAACATCTGACTAGGATAATCAGATGTTTGGCATTTTGTGCTCCTATTCAGCGACGCAAAGTATTGAATGACATCAATAACATTGAATGGAATGATTTGTGGACAAGGAACACGCGGGTGGTATATGCCCCCCGGACCATTTACGTTTGTCTGTTACCTTTTATATGCTCGTAGTGACCATACTATGCATAAATTTGGCGTGGCTGTACATTTCCGTGTTGCACGAAGAGTTCAATTTCGACACAAGATAGGAGCCTCAAAAATGATTCGTTTACTGTTCGCTCTGACTGTTGTCGTTCTCATGGCTGCACATGGTGAGTACTGTACAACTTTAGAGTTTGAAATGTAGATTTATCCCTCAGGAAATTTTGTGTCTCATTACAAGCATCGCTGAATAATGCGACACTGAAACACATCAAACGGCCGCAAAATAACTGTGGAGTATTTCCTTGCCTTGGGCCGCTAGAATGACAGGCTTTTCATCCGTGAACCGTATAGTAAACCTTGAAAATGCATGTAACAGCTTTCGTTTATGTTTTCGTATTAAAATATACTATCTTAAATTGAACTGGGGAAAGAAATCCAGTATGGAAATCATTCAGATTTCAGTTCGTTTTCATTGTCTCAAAACGATTTCTTTGCTATGGATGGACTATGATTTAGGCTCTACTTGATTCGTTCAGAATCATAACTCAGTCTTACCGCTCTTTCAAGTTTGTTTGGGGATATATGAATGTAGTTTGGATTTAGGCTTAACTTGATCTTCTTTAGGCCACAATTCAGTCCCATTTGACTTTTAAGTTTTTTCTTCGCCGAATAAAGAACCACAATATAGTCGTAATTGCAGAGCGTACGTTGGCAGCGACGGAAAGACCGCAATACCCTGATCGCAAACGGATGTAGATCTTACTGCATCCAAGGTCAATAATTTGCCAAAGTAGCGAGAGTTTGAACTTTCACAATGCGCCTAGTTCGTAGATCACCTTGGATCACTCTTAATTTTATCAAGATGATCAATAATTATCCCACAGGTGCTCAATTTAAGCTGACGCGTGAACATTTTGTTTCCAAATTTAGGCGCAATTTCTTCAGTTTTAAAGTTGCCCAGTACTCACCATGTGCAGTTCTCAAAACAACGACAATCAGAGTGAACAGCAATCAACTCATTATGTGGTTCATATCTAATGACGGAGTTTAAATTTTCGTGTTATATCACAAATGTACAGCTACAGAAAACTTGAAAATGTCACGCAAAGAGATTTTTCATCATGGATGTGGACGATATTCAACAACGTCAAAAATATGTAAAACTAATTTGAAACTTTGAGAGAAATCTGAGTATTTTCATTACACGCAATGACATTTATGGATTGACATTTTATATGTCGGCTCAATGCGCCAAAGGGTGATTTCGCAGTTGCTTTATCCGGTTAAACCGGTTTCATAATATTTACACAAGCCCATTACACGATTGCGCTTTGTCAAGGATCTATCACAAATTTACAAGACATGAACTGGGGGTCCATAAATTACAACCGTGCGTACACTTCATGGATCACTTCTGTGGAACACCCTCAATTTTTGAAGATGGGCAATCATCTTTCCTCATCTGACTAGGATAACTAGATGTATGACATTTTCTGTTCCTGTTTAGCGACGTAATTAAATCCGCAAAGTAACGTAATTATACCGATAACACTGGATGAAATGATTTGTGGACAAGGAGCACAGAGGTGGTATATACGCCTCCGGACCATTTGTCTGTCACCTTCTACTATACGCCCATAGTGACCATGCTATGCATAAATTTGGCGTGACTGTACATTTTCCGTGTAGCACGGAGAGGAGTTTATTTCAGTTCAGAAATGTTTATGGCCGAAATTAGTAAGCTCGCTTTAATTCAAACACTGGGTATTATTGCAAATTGATACGCCAATGACACGCTAATGCGTTGTTATCGATTACAAATTTACAAGGCATGAACCGGGGGTCCATGAATTACAACCATGTGTACAGTTCGCGGATCACTTCTGTGGAACTCCTTTAATTTTTAAAGATGGGCAATCATCATTCCAATTCTGACTATGATAACCAGGTGTATGACACACTTTGTGTTCCTATTCAGCGACGTAACTAAATCCCGCAAAGAAATGAAATGACACCAATAACATGAAATGGAATGATTTGTGGACTGGGAACACAGTAGTGGTATATACCCCCTCTCCCCCCACCCCGACCTTTTATGTTTGTTTAAAGGCCATTAGTGACCATACTATGGATAAATTTGGCGTGGCTGTACGTGTTCGGTGTAGCACTTCAGCACAAGATAGGAGCCTCAAAAATGATTCGTTTGCTGTTCACTCTGACTGTTGTCATTCTGATGGCTGCACATGGTGAGTACTGTACAACTTTGGAGTTTGAAATGTAGATTTATCCCACAGGAAATTTTGTGTCTTATTAAAAGTATTGCTAAATAATGCGACACTGAAACACATCAAACGGCCGCAAAATAACTGTCGAGTATTTTCATTGCCTTTGGCTGCTAGCATGACAGGCTTTTTATCCGTGAACCGTACAGTAAACCTTGAAAATGCATGTAACAGCTTTCGTTTATGTTTTTTTATTGAAATATATCATCTTTAGTTGAATCGGGGGAAGAAATCCAGTACGGAAATCACGCAGATCTCGGTTAGTTTTAATTGCCTCTAAACAATCTCTGTGCTATAGATGGACTATGATTTAGGCTATACTTGATTTGTTCAGAATCATAACTCAGTCCTACCGCTTTTTCATGTTTTTTCTTTGCAGTATTGAGGATATATGACTGTAGTTTGGATTTAGGCTTAACTTGATCTTCTTTAGGACACTAAATGAAATTTTATGCGAAATTATTTTATGCAAAATGTTACGGAAATTATTAGCTAGTTTGTATAAGTACTTACTTTGTGCTGAACAAACAGCCTTTGTTTGTGCGCTTGAAACCTGCTGGCGGGACAAAACGTATTGCAGTCATCGGGAAATCGACCAAACATTTCGGTCTTTGCAAAAGCATTCGGCCTGATTCCACAAAAACTTTTTTTTAGCACATACCATTGCTTTTTGGGGTCGAGATTGAATCCCGTAACTCTAGAAAGCTCAGCCTATCGATCGAAGACTTCGGCCTCCATGATGAGATCGTGCCAAGTGATTGCAATCAGGAAATCTGTCTCATGATCGCGTAAGCGTGAAACTCAGAGTCACAGAAAAGTTCAGTCATATTGATTTGACTGACTTCCTCGTGAAATAGGACAAGCAGAGTCCCTTTGGTTATTTAAGCGTTTAATTAAAGAAGTACTTTAAGAGCGCTTTTCTGTAAAAATCAGACAAATTCTAAATTTCGCGGCAGGGGTGAAAAATTCGATTTCTTTCTTATTTTAATATCAGAAAGGCTAGACTATAGCTAAAATCACTGGATACTTTTTTGGCGAAATATCTTTTTAATTCAGAGAAAAATACAAATAACAAAATTCCGTTAAAATCGTCATTTTTAGCAGCAAATTATTGCACGAGTTTGAGGGCTTCGCGTTCAAAAACGAATCACTATCTTGTCTTTTTAACACTCAAATCTTCTTTTTCAACCTCATAAGACCTTCCAAAACGATTTCTGTAAACACTGCGTTCCTTTTTGCGTCTAAAATAATTTAAGTTCGAAAGCATACATTTCTCTTCAGTAAAAATACTTCGTGAATAAAATTTTCACCATGTGCTCAACCTTCAAATGGATTAAGTTTTTAGTGGTTGAATTTCGAAAAGATGTTCTCAATATAACTGTAAAAATTTGTTTGGGCAAATGATTGAGAGCGATACAAAAGCTTTTCAATAAGTTCAATAAGTATTTTTTTCTGAAATAAAAAGATATTTCGCCAAAAAAAAGTATCCAGTGATTTTAGTTATAGCCTAGCCTATCCAACATTAAAATAAGAAAGAAATCGAATTTTCCACCCTT